CTCATTCCATACTTCTCCCAACCATTAATTCCACGTTTGCTCTCTCACCACATGTTCATTATTCTCCATCTCTCGTCCCTGCATTTTGCATTTCACTTATTCTCTTATTATCTAATTGGCAGCCGGCCATCGCGACCGATTGTAAAACACGGCAGTCCATCCTTCCCGAGAATCTCCAGCACTCAAGATGCCAACGGCATTCCCGACTTTCATTTGGTCGAAAGTGATAGTTTCGAACGTATCCATGCTCGAGAAAGGAGAACCATCGCCCCCCTCGCTCCCCGTTCCTTCGGCGCGAAGATCGCCGTTGCTCCTTCGCGTTCTCGTCTTTGTCCCCGGGATCCTCGCGACCGGTTTCCGGTTCATCTCGAGGCACACGCGTGCAACACGACCGCCACCTTTCACTTCTCTCTCGCCGATGCCCAAATTTTCCTCCTTTGTCGCGGACTGCGAACGGTAAAGCATTGAACGAACTCGGTTTCTTGCAGATACGCTCGAAGACCACAACATGAAGTCCACGTACATCGTCCTGGTAGCAGCGTTCTGCGCGGCTTTGGTGAACGCTGGCCCGCTTCCCGGGGGACAACGTCTTCAGTCCGAGGTAAGCGCCACGGGAAAAAGAGGCGTCGTCCGCGACGAGCCAGAATTCGCTGGAACTCGTTCCCGATTCGACTTCTCGCTTGCCTTATCGGCGCAGGGCCGCTTTACACCTGTTTCCGTAGATTAACCGTATAACTGCCAGTTGAACTGGATAATTTCCATCTTGGCAGCCGCAAACGAAAAATTTCCAGGCATTTCATGCTCGAGTACTCTGGATCGTTTAATGTCTATATTAGCGCATTACCTTCGCGTTGATATTGATGGAGTGATGCAGGAATTTTCGAATGTCGGCGAAGAGAACGAATTGGAAATTAATTGGTGCCGCACTTTTCGCGTGGAGTAAAGTTTTCAGAAAATTATCGTGCAGCATGGAGGACGTTTTAATTGGTAGATAATGATTCGATAGTAATGATTATATTCTGTAACTGGACTACGATGGAAGCGAGGAGATGGAATGAAGAAGTAGAAAGACAACTCGTTGACAAGAAAAATAGGTCTCGTTTCGTTGAGTCATATGTTGATTACGACGTTTCTAGCGATTCTTATCTTTATGCCAGGTTATTAAACGGAAAGAAAACATAATTCGTTCGCGTGGCAGCCAGCTAGAAATCGATAGGTTTCGAATATTACGGTAGTTTCTCTATTTACCAGCGAAGAATGTTAGAACGGAAAAATAAATCAGGCGTTACGCAAATCCGAAACTCAGCCTGTCGCAACGGAGACATTCGAAACGGGAAATATCGTCTGAACCAGCTGGCAATCGGACGTGTACGTGTTTCCCTCGTTATTCGCCGAAGATTATGTTATAACCGACATAAGGCGATTACAGTGTCCTCTCGACCACGGTCGTGTTTCTTTTACGACCGTGCGCTCTTGTCGTTTATCTCGTTCCAGCTTAGAAATATCATTACCACCTGTTGACAGAAAGTTCCATCCTCCGCAAACTTTCGTTCGCAGTAATGAAGCCCGTGTATATCGTACACTAATGGAAGAGGATTGTATTGTATAATGTTATCGCGAAGATTGAGTCATTGAGATAAATCGGTTGTGGATCTTCGTGCGAGATAGAAGTCTCTTGACGTAATTTGCAGAGATCGGGGTTAAGATTTCAGATTCTCCGTCAACGTTTACGCTATAATTGAAGTGCAAATTATATATTAAATTCAATTATCTTCCTCGAATTCGTGTTCATCTTTCGTCCGTTGAACCTCAAATCGCGAGTGTCGCAATGAATAAACGAACAGAACTAAATTACGTTCGTTTAAATTTACTTTCGTAAGAATAATAAACGATTGGAACTGATAGAGAAATCTGTAAGTTTACAAAGTTACGTAGCCAGGCAATGATATTCAATATGGCCGACGCTCTCTCGCAAAGGGTTGATTCGTAAGCGAGCACGAGATTGCGTAACGATCATGTTACGATGACTTTCTCTGTGTCACTGGGCCGACGGGATGCGCGACGTCGCGTCGTCGATCGAAAAATAACGTCCGTCGCCGCTAGGGACACCGGAATCGGTGAAAGCGCGGTTTAGAGTTCACGAAATTCGCCGGTCGAGCTAAAAGCGCGGCCGGTCAACCGTCGAGACCATTGGGAGAAGGAATGTGGACAGTGTGCGGATCGGTTGCGAAAGTTCTCGCCTCGATTTCGACGGCGCGAGCCGATCGTTGGACCGAGGCGTTCGATTCGGTGATCAGAGATGATGTTTCACTTTCGACGGGCGGCCTCTTTCACTTACGGCCGAGTGCTACGACCTCGCGATGGAATAAACACGCCGGGAGGAAACTTCTGATCGCCCCCACCTCCGCTTCTTCTTTTCCCCTCTCTTCCGTGGCTTCGTAAAGAACCGAGAATTTGGTGAACCGAATAAACTCGTCGGAAGGGAACGTGCGGTCGTTTCGATCTTCGTTCCTTTTGTTTCCCTTTTTCTGTTACGAAAAACATCCGAGAATTCGATCGCTTGAATAAACATGATTATTAAGTGATCGTTCTGTCTGTCTCTACTTTTTTCTCTTCCGAGTGGTGGAAACACCCGAGATCTCGTTAAACTGAATAAACTCGTCGAAAGATCAGCTTTCGTCTGTGTATCTAATTTTCCTTTCTCTTTCTTCGCGGCTGCAATAACAGCTGCGATTTTGAGAATCCGAATAAACACGTAAAGGAATTTTTCAATCGTTTCCATCTTTCTTCCATTTTTCTTCTTGTTCCTCGGCTTCGCAAACATTCGCCGACTTAAGGAACTCAGAAATAGAACCTACGATTTCTTTGATTTCCATTTTTTCTACGAAGCGGTCAGTTTCCTCTTCCTCGACAAGCGTTCGCTCTCAACGTTGCTTGTCGGACGATCTCGCTTTTTCGGGGAAGCGATCGTCCGCCATTAAGTCGGCGGGCGGCCCACGCGCGACAGCGGCAGTGCAAATATTTTAATTGCTCTCGAAGATGACATTGAAGCCGAACGGTTGTATAAAGCACGTAAGTGTTGAGTTGTCCTCTCAGGTTTTTCCCGGAGAACCAGTCATTGTCACCCGGTATAGCTTTATCATTAAACCGCCTTCGTGCAAATATCTTTCAAACGTCAAGAGAACTTTTAACATCGTTTGTTTCTTTTAGCAACGTCTAAATCGAAGTGCCACTACATATATTTGCATGCTTAAAATCAACAATGACTACAATACTTAGAACTAGCATAAATAAACGATTCATGTATTCAGTTTCCAATATTCTTTGCTTACAATTGAATAGATAATACATACATCGTGTTTAGATAAACGAAATATCCTATACAGATAATAAACACATCAATTTAGATAACATCGGACAGACTTCTTGCTACATCCACTAATTGGACGCACGATATCCGTTGTCCCCGAAGAACCTAAAAGCCATCGGTTCGATCGTGCATCAGTAAGGAAGGAATGCCGTCGCTCTGGAGGCACGAACGTCGAGTTCGTAAACTTTCTCGCCGTCGTAAATCTTTCATGACGCGCACCGGATCCCCGCGATTGCACTCATTGTTCTCCCTGATGAGCCGGTTAATGAGCGCCTAGCGCAACTGGTTGATCGACCGACGAATTAACTTGCCGTTGCGCAAAGAGGAAGGTCATCCGCGGAATCGCCGCGTGTGGCGCACGCGTGTATGTTCGAAAAATACGGTTCTGCGGCTTTTATTCGTTCGTTTCGGTGGGAAAGAGTTAGGCAAGCTTAGCCACGCAGAGGCGAGCGTTCGGCGAACGATGAAATACACGGTCCAACGAAAAGCCCGGGGACGGCCGAGTCGGCTCTCTTCTTCGGCCCGACACTTTCACTGGCCGCGAACACTCGCTGAGTTACACCGGACACTTTCTTCGCTCGATCGATGCCCAATGGAAAGCGCGTGCGTGAGCGTGCACGCGTGTTTCAACCTCTCTCTGATCTGTGATTCTTGGGGCACCGTGGCCGACAGTGGTTCCCAAGCGGTCTTCTTCTAGCGTACCAAAGAAAGGATACATTAAGGTGTGAAAATATTTGAGCATTCGCTTCGGGAATGATAACTTTTGATTTTCTGCTGGAAAATGCGAGGAGAGATGGTAGAGCTGTGCATATTCGTTAGTATAATAGGTGTATTTTTAATCTTCCTGTGAAAAAGGGTAACAATCGAAGTCAAATTAGTGGAATGTAATCAGTTTGGTTGTTAATTTTCACTTATTATTATTGGTATTCTACATCTTCTAAATGTATGACGATGTAGGCTCATTTGAAAGTATCTTCTCTAACTTCGAATAGAGTTCGTTCGCTCAAATAGAGTTTGTTGAAAACTTTCGAGTTATTAACACTAGGATCTCGGAACTTTCATCGAAGCTGCTTGAAAGTGTCGACAGTAAGAACAGGCAAACGGATTGCGATCAGAGTTTAAGCGTTAAGAAACAAACTTCGTAAAATACAACTAGTTTCTTCTTTGTAGCTGTAACATTTAATCCCAAGGTGTTTCGTAATCGCGGATTTTTAACAGAAATTAAGCAACCCGAAACGTTACACAGGAATTCAGTGAAGCACAGTGGGTAGCTGAAAAAACACAGTGTTTTGCCATCGACCTAATTCCGAATATTATACAACAGCTAATTTCTATTCGTTCGTCCTTCGTTGTCTAGGATAAATCGTCACGTGTCTTAATCAGCAAGTTTTTATTATCGTTTTTTGCATCGTCCAATAGTTACAAAAACGTCCAAGGATGACATTTTAATGAAATGGATTAACGGCTTTTCTCTCGCTATCATCGTGGAGCTCGGAGACTTGAACGCGCGGACATAGTGACACAGTAGCCTCGGAGACTTCAACGCGTGGTCGAGCATGTCTACGCTCTCCGCTCACGCATCCACTGAATCTCGACCGAGTAGCGAATGAAATCTTCATCAATCACCCGCGTAAATCTCTCTGCTTCTTGTACGATGTATAGAGAAAGGGTTACACGTGGTAGTAGGCTCTAGGAAGTGTACAGAAACGTTTCCTGGATCATCCATAACAACGGCTACTCACCGAGAGATCGATTATTCGAAAGTCCTGATTTCCGATTGCATCGCGAGATGATTTCACCGGTGCAAGAAGTATAATTAATGCCGATAAAAATACTAACGTTCACTGCCTTCTACGAGTACCTCGAAAACTTCCTAATGAAAGGGAAATGCGATCACTAGGAATAAAGAACTACAGGAGACGTCGGTTAGAAAATTTCTTTTAAAATCGTGTGACAAACGATTCTTATAGAATGTATTCCTACGATAACAGTAACAAATTCGTTTAAATTCCCTCGAGTGTCAGAATACTCATGAACGACAGCATAAGTGTACCGGACAGGAACGAATATCGTAACAGCTGGTCGAACGCGAGCGGGATTTCAGGGAAAGTGAACCATGGCAACCGCGTTGGGCAACGCTCGAGTCCGCCACTGTCCAAGTATCGCTAAACTTGATTCATTACACGCTTTGCGTCATTAATACACTGCGAATGGTTATGCGTTTATGGGAAATTTGAAAATGGAGAACCGCATAGAATGTACACGATAAAAAAGATATATGGAACATCGAGTGTCAAATAGAATATCGAAATATCATATGAAAAACTACACAAACTGCAGGCAACACGTGGCAACGTATAAAATATCGAAAGTACAATATTTTCTACAATATTTATTAGGAAGAACCATTCTCTATAATAATTCTGGTTTCTTAATTGTCTAAAAACTTGAATTTGCCTAAAGATCCACAGTCCATTGCAAAGACTCAACGGATTCGCTCGTCCTGTTTTTTCCGTGTTCCTAATTGTTAATCGCCGTTCGCGTTACCCGAGCAAATAACGTTACACGTAATCGTAGGTATAGAAGTCTCTTACATTAAACCGTGGCGGCACTAATACGCCGCTCGTCTAATAATACGCAATCCCGTCGTTTAGCCCCGCAACTCCGTTCGAGTTATTGTTGTACGCAACGCCGCTGCTCCGCCGTTTTACGCGACCGTTCTCTCATCAACAGCGGACCGCCGATCAGCACATGTTTCTCGGCGATTTCTCGTAATTCGAAAATTGCCGTTCATAAATCGTCGAACACCTTCGACGGGATTGTTCCGCGGTGCCGCGGTTATTATGCAACGGCAGTTCGGTTAACGCGTCTCGATCGCTTTCAACGTGGTTTCCGGTTAACAAGCGAATCGCGGGATCAAACGTTTCCTTATTGCCATCGCGATGGAACGATATTTCTTCTCCGTTGATTGGAGCACGATGTGTTCGGTAAATACGCGGAATGATTTGTAAACAGTTGCGCAAGGGGGAAGTGATTCATATGAAAAAAATGAGTCAAGGGTGTGGAATAAAAATGCTTATCACTAACTCCTTTCTCTATAGAATCAAACAAGTGCAAGTCGTACAAATTTCATTCGATGGTTTCGATTTATTCTTTCATGTGGAATTTTTCTCCGATTGAATTATCAATTATAGATATTCTTGATATATTTGTTAGTACAAAATTTCGTTCGATTTATGTAAAATATTCAAACGCACTGTTAAGAAGATAGTTTGAAAATGGAAGCTAAAGTTTGCTAGTGCGGGGTTGCATTATCGAGGGAATTGTCGTTGAAAATCAACTGATACAGATGTCAGTTTGAACACTCTATATTGAGTTCAATGACGATGAAACGCAGCAAGAGATTCAGGGGAAGTGGAAACAGAATTGTAGGGACAAAGGGAAACTGTTTTCAGGCACTCGATCGGCTGATGGTCGTCGAAGCCGACAACGAGGCCGCCCTAAGGAGCAAACGGACGATCGGTATCCTGCGGGAATTGTTTCCCGATGTTTCTCAGGTGAGCCGCTGCTGAACAAAACGCAGTGAAATCCTGCAGACGGCCAGGACAATTAGAACCTCTAATTTTAACTCCCCGAGATCCTGCATCAATCGATTGAATTCTCCGGAAAAGGACATTGGACGTCCTCGAGATTGTATCGCAGCAGGGAAATCCCGTAGAATAATTAAACCCATTAACGTTGATATTTTGGCAAACAAGGACATATGGAAATTACATTTTTTTGAATTGATATTTTTAAACGATTGGAAGGTTTTCGCGGAGAGAAATGTTTATTAATTGGAAAGTGAAGAGTCTTGATTACGCAGACCTCTCTTCGAGGTGGGATTCAATTAACATTCGAATAGCAATGCATGGGTTCATTCAAGTTTTCAGAACCTTTCTTTTGAAGCTTGTTAAAGCTAATTGAAATTAAGTCTATTTGCTTTGAAATATAATTGGAAACATTAATAAGTAGATTAATAGAGCTGCATCATATCACATACATCGCTGTTTAGTAGACGAAGATGTTTTATTCAGAAAACAATTTCATTCACACTGTTCCCATGAAGCTAAAATGAACGAAGTCAAATTGATATGAAAGTTACAATCAGGTCAATAATTTGTGATGATTTATAAGTAGACTGTAGAATAGAATGTTCTACTGTGAAAGAGGAACGTATTAGAAGAAGCTTCAAAAGATTCTCGTTTCGACGGTGAGACGCAGAAACATTTCGATGGCGGAGAAATTGTTCACGCCGAATTGGCATTCCTCCTAAGAAAGTTTTACGTTCGATTCAAGATACAGCCTGATTTTCCTCGTACACGGCGTGTGTCGTTAATACATTTTGCGTAATCAAATGACGCACGTGTCCAGTTCAGGTCAAATGTAATTCTAGTCCTGTACCATAATTCTTCGAAATAAAATACTTTACGATTCTATTCTGTCCGTGTTAATTGTAATTGAAATGTTCAATTTCAAACACTGTAGATTCACTAACAACAAAGAGCAGTCGTGTCATAGAAAATGATCAAATTTGAACATTCTCATTGTCTTAAATCAAATGTTCTTCTGCATTTAAGAATCTATTAATATTATTCCGAAGGAAACAATTTATTACAGTATATACAGGGTGTACTATGACATGTGACACAACTTTGATGGATTCATCACACTAAAATAAGAAAATAATGCAGAATTTCTTTCGAGCGTGATCCTTTTTCTTATGTTAGTGCACTGAGTCATCAATAAAATAGTGTCGTGAAGGAAAATTCCATTTCGAAGGAAGATTTTACAGATTCCCAATATCCAATTACCCACGTGTATTTACATACAGTTACTCTTGTACACAAGCCAAGGTACAATCTCGAGCAAACTGAGACCGAAATTACCGCCTTCCGCGCGTCGTTCCCCATGTCTCCCAGCACGACCGCCGAAATCAGCCGCCATATCGGCAGTCTCGGGCACCTTGACGCTACGACCGAGTAAACCACTCCTCTAGTCCGCCGCGAAGGCGAACAACTCCGAATCACTGTCCGATCGAGCCGTGCACGAAAAGCGGTCCCAAGAAACAGACGAATTCCGTCGACGCGAATCGCACGATAGCTCTCGCCTCTCGACTGACAAACGCATCAGACAGCCAAAGCTCGACCATGCACGACGGTGAACGTGAAATACACGAAACGAGCACCCCACAACACGACTGAGAATGCGCTGAGGTCGCGATCGACGCGCGAAAGACAATCGGAAAGCCAAAAACCATGTAAAACTCGAGGCCCCAGACGGTCCTGCATAGATCCTCCAACATAGAAACAAAGCACAAACCATAAATAAACCAATAAATAACTGATAACGATAAAACCACTAAAGCTATTGCTAATACGGACCATGGAAACAATGAAATTCCATTATACCTTACCGGAACGTTTTTCGAGTAACAAATTCTAGCGATCGAATCGATTGCTCCCTAAATCGAAGATGGAGTGAGTAAAATAGGAATAAATTGAAATATTTAAAAGAACAAAGTAAATAAATAAAATAAAGAAACAGAGTGGAGAAAGAGAGAGAGAGAGAAAAGAGGAGCTTGCCTCGGTCTTCGACCAGGTCAGCTAAGCGCTGTTGTTTTCTAGATGATCGAACAAAAGGTGAACGCGATAGTCGCGGAGGTCATCCGAGTACTCGGCCCGACCTTGCTGCGCAATGTCCTCGGGAATAATCAGCAGACCGGTGGCGGTGCGACTGTGCCGAGCGACGGGTCCACGGTGACCGTCGGGTCACCGTTCGGCGACGACGACGACGAAGATGACGCGAACTGGGTGAAATCGACCGATCAGAACGGTTCGAGGGTCTCGGTCAATCTGCCGACCTTCCCGCCGGACGAGAACGAGGACACCGCTACCACTACCACGTCGCTGCCCCCCGAGGGTGAAACCACCACCGACAGCAACTCGCTGGCGTGACCTGTTCACGGCCAGCCTGGTAAAACGTTGGAGGTCAATGAACACGGTTCTGAAGTTCGCCAATTGACGAGGATGATCACCGCGCAATCGGGACTGCTGCGGACACGCAAAATCTCTCTGTTCTGTCCACAAATCGCTATTCTTCTTCCTCCGTCTGCTAACTATTCCTCTACACTTCTGTCTGTCTATTTGTGTGTTGTGAACTTGTCATTGGTCTTCTGTCCGCATTGTCGTGCTCTCTGTCCTCGCGTGATACCCCTCTCGAGGAATCATCTTTCTGTGTTCTCACGTTAGGCGAAGTGTTATCAATGTCTGCGAATGACCATTGATCTTTCAAGTTTCTCCTCCCTTCGTCGATCCGTACGTCACCTCTCGCTTTCGATTCATTTCAAGCTTCACCGGAGAAAGACCGTTCTCCGCGGTCGTGACTGATTTCACGTTGAACGAGCTTGAGGAAGGCCGACGGCCTCCGTCGCGGAGCGAGCCGCGTCGATGAACCTTTTACTTCGAACGTTCCCACTGTTCCATCGACGCTTCATCGTCATCGATTCCACTTTCTCGGATGTGTGCTTCGCTTCTCTGTGTGCGCTCGGAGCTGCATTAGTCGCCTGTCATCGTCGCTCGGCGTTGCGTCCGTCCGAACGGACGGCCGCCCGTATCGCCGGGCGAAAGTTCATCGAGCGGGTCGAAGGTTTCCGAACGTTGAATCGAGGATACTCGCGGGTAACCGATGGGAAAATGTGTTCGATCGACGGGCGAACAGTGCGCTCGGCGATGCCTCGATGATCACGATGATCGCCGGAGCGTTTGCACCCCGTGGATACTCCGCTTCAACGAACTTCAGGGATACACTCGTCGATACGTCGCAACGACTCCCAAAAGGGCGTCGGTCTCGATCCGCGGACTATTGGGAATCGTTCGACTGATCTCATAATCCGACTCTGTAGCGCTTCGACTGACGATCCATCGACTAATAACCGGCGGCGCGTGTCCCGATCACGAGACATCGAGAGAACACGCGTCGCACGCCTCGTCTAATTCGCGGCGAATGCTCGGCGCGTTTACGCTCGATCGCCGTCGAGTCGCAGAAACGCTCGAACGCGTTTCTGAGAGTTGATCGGTTAAATTGCGAGTGCCAGGCCGCTTACTGTGAATAATGGGAACGCGGTTTTCGTGTTCATGCGCTTCGAGGTGCTTGGATTGCACTGCGAGCCCTGAATCGTGGTACAATTGAGGCGAGAGAGTTTTTACGGCCGAAACTAGGAAAGAAGTAGAACAAAGGAAATCCACCGCTTGTAGCTATGTTCTCGTTAAGAACAATAATGTTTAATCTATGTTCAGTAAACATAAAATCCAAAATCAGTCCCCTGATACTTTGAATTTTTATCTTCGCCGTTTCTTTATACTTCAACTTGAAGTTTTATTTCTCGATAATCATCCTTCCTTCTCAAAATCTAATCTTCAAGCGCAATTTCATTGCTTTCAATTATACCAGTGAACTATTTAGTAATGTCAGAACCTCTCTGGTCGCAATTCCACGATTCACAAGCCACAGTGTAGAACAACCAAGGACAAACGAAGTTCCTCGAAGCGAGATAACTCCTGCAAAATTTCACCAATGTCCTCGGCGATCAGCGATTCGTCCCGAAGTTCGAGGAGATCGATCGTGTAACATCTGTTTTCAGGACGTGAATCCGGAGGCGGAGGATAGGGTGAACGAGGTGGCGGCGGAGTCGCAGAACAACGAGGTCAAAGTGCAATTCGCCGACGAGCAGGCCGAGGAGACGGCGCCGTTGACGCCGTTGGACGAGGTGGAGGCCGAGGACGACGAGAACAGGAACAAGAGGTACCTGAACTTCGGTTTCGGCGGGTCAGGCAATTCCGGGAGCGGCGCTGGTTCCGGCAACTTCCTCTTCGACATAATTAGGGTGAGTTTCCCGGGAACATCGAGAACAGCCGACTGCCTTCGAGTCTGAACCACCGCCGAATGAAAAATGGAGGAATTCTAACATAAACATATCCAACCTCTAAACAACCTGTAGCAGAACTTCTCCTTTACATAATAATATACAGGCTATATACTTAACTATAAAATTACGTCCAAGCGAGACGTAAGAAACAGCATGCTCACAATAGAAATGAAAATAGAGGACTCCTAGCGAACTCCGCAAGAAAGATCGGTTCAATTATCAGCTGAAGTAGGTGTACGTTTTATAATTTTCTTCTTTGGTTACACGTTCATTATAGTCCGTCTAGCTAATTAAAAATCGCAAGTGTCACTGTCGATGAACAGGATACGCGTGACAACCGATCAATCAGTTCCACCGCCGTCCTATTCGCAGCCGTTCTTTCCTCTCGTTGTCGGGAGAAAAAAGGGAACGATCGAGAAAAAATCAATGGACATTTACGTCAGTAACGAAAGGATCTACAGCGCCGCGCGACTTGCCGGTCGTTTAATATTCAAGTAAGAGGCCGGCGCGGCGACCACGGCAAGGGCGCCTACTCGAGACGCCGGTGAAAGTCTTAGACCGAATTGCCGAGCCGCGCCGATTGCCGTTCCAAGGTTCCTGACCTAGCCGCGACCCGACCTCGTCGACAAATATCAGGCGTTGAAACCTTTCCCGTTTTTTTATCGTTACAGTTCTTTTTTCTTGGAGGAATGGAAACAGGATACCTTTTGAAAGAATTTTTTCTCGCACTGATGCAAATCGTTACAAGCAAGAAACGTTACTATAATTGGCTGCAATTAATTTCCTTCGCGAGAATTGATTTCTATACGTTCGCTGATCGAGGAACGTCAGATTGATTTAGTGGACATGCTTTTCAGACGGTTAAAAATAATATTTAAGATTTCGGAAGACACGTTGCACGTTGGTACTAAGATTGTTACCGAACCGACGAAACCGAATTTTTTCACAGCATTGTGAATTGCCGCGGAACTTCCGAGTTGCTGTCTGGCGTTTTGTTCGGCTTTCAATCGGAGCCCGCCACGCTTAATTGCCATTAAATTAATGAAAGTAACAACAGGAGAGTAACCCTAGAAAGTAATCCAAACATCGTAAAACATGTACGGAATCCTGTTTCCACGGTAATAACGTGATGATTATTAGAAATTTCTCTTGTTTTATTCAACGAACGGGTTATTCTCCGTTCGTGTGCCCGATTCATTGTCCGCGACCGTTAACAGCAGCCACGCGATCGCGACTGAACGCCGCTCGAAACTGGTCGACGAATGTCCGCCTTTTATGGCGTCGGAAATCTAGCATACGTTCTCTTAACGTCTTCGGACCCTATGAATAAACAATCCGTCCGCTGGATTCGATTTCTTCTCGCAGGATTTATGCCTGATCTTTCGATATCTCCACATCTTCAGTGGACACACCCCTATAATCAGACTTTAGAAGGAACAAAATTAATCAAAGACATTTCAATTACTTCAGAACGAAGTCGAAACGTCGATAGAACTCTAGAATACATTTCAATGCTCCCTCAAATCTCTTCCCCGACAAAGAAATAACACAACAAAACTTAAAATATCCATTCCCTAGGACTGAACAAAAGCATATTAATCGAAATACATATTCCACACAAAATTCAATATCTCCACATTTAATCGCAAACTCACAAACGTTCCAAGTAACCATTCTATTATAGAATTATTTGCTCAACGAATCCCCCAGATCCTCCATTTTTCATTCTAAAACAAAGACCTCTCCTCACAAAGAGGACCCGCAACGATCGAGCATCCTCCAGTGAAACCGGACTGGAAGTAGACACCGAGGGTACTTCCGGAAGGTGGGAAAGCGTCCTCTAAACACGAATTTCAGCCGCTTTTCAGGGGCCGGTTCATCGGAGAACGTGAAGGCGCGGCAGGCCAGCGAGGAGGCTGCTCCGCGATCTAACGCGAAAGACAATGAAAAAGCAAAACACAAAAAGGCAGGCGTACAACCTGAGGAGCGGATCAGTAAACGAAAGTTCTCGTCTCTGTTCTCGTTTAGCAAGCGGCCGACGGGGCGGCAAGAGCGGCGGGCACGGTGTACCGCGTGGTGGCAGGTACGCAGAGCCTAGGGCTCGGCTTAAGCGCCTCTCGGGACTTGGGCCCGGCTCCCCAAGATGCCGCCCCTGCTGCCGCTCCAGCTGGTTCCTCGTCCACGGCGGCACCCTCGACCAACGCACCGGCCGCGTCAGGAGCCGGCAACCTACCACCGGTACGCCAATCCTTCCGAGCAGAGCCGAACGGACACTGCCAACTGCACTTATCTCCTGGTGAACGGGGACCGACGGAGACACTCTCTGGACCCTCGCTCTCCTCGGCAATTCTCTTTGCCCGCGATTGCTGACCGAGGGTCTCTCGTCGTTTCCCGTTTATTCTGGCTTCTTTCACTCTCTACTCTCTTCTCTCTCTTTCATTTTCTCTGTCTCTACGTCTCTTCATTTCTGCTTCTTTTCACCGAGGGGGCTCTTATCCTGGAGTCTGGCGACTACTTCTTTCGAGAGGGTGTTCCTTTCGCGAAGTTACTTGGGTGGATTGATTAGATGATTGGATTGAACGGGAGTGATGGGATCTTCGGAGTTTTCAGTTGGGTTTGAATTAGAATATTGTGAGAAATGTGTATGGAATAGCTTGGTTATTCGTATGAAGTAGCTGTGTGGTTTACGTTTTTAGTAGATATTGGAATCTTTCAATCGTTTTTGTAACAATGAAACAATAGCTATAAACTTACATCGAATTCTAGTTCTAACTTTGGGGTGCTCGCGCTTTAAAATTCGTGAATTTAGACAGTTTCGTCCAGGGACCCTCGAAAAGAAGTAACTCGCACGTGTACAGATTTGCGAGTCGCATCTCGAACGGTGCTCGATGCACCCAGGCCACCTGCAAAGTATCGTAGCTGCACGCGGCCTGTGTTTGATCTGCACGTCATACTCCTCGCACGTGGCTAACAACCGCTCGTCTCGCACGTTCTTTCATTCGCTCTTCCGCAGTCCGTTTGTTTAACCACTCCGCTGTCAACGCGAACGTCTCTTTCTGTGTCCGCCTTCATCTTCGATTCTCTTCTTCTCCCTCTTTCTAATCTCTTCCTCGCCTGTCCTCCGTCTCTCTTTCTCTGTCTCTTCGTCGACTCGCTGGTACTTCTTCATCTTCCTGTTCTTCTTTGTTCTGTCGTTTCCCTCTGCCTTGACTGTGCATGGACTGCGCGCCAGGATCTCTACGCTTTCAATGTTTTGCGAATGCGAGTCTACAGGTAGACTGACTCTCGAAACGAAACGGAATGATTTCAGGAGAGCCTGGCGCGCGGTCGTTGAGACGCGCATCGATCTCTCATGGTCCTAGTGTGCGCCAGGTTTCAGTCGTGATCCAGTGTTGTCACTAATCAGCCTTCGTGCGCGTTCATGGCGAGTCACTGAAAAAGCACTGTCCGCTTTTGCTGGTTCAAGCGTCGATCCTCGACGTTGTATTACAAATATCGCTTCATTTTTTATCCTTCGATCTTCTCTGGAATCTTAACTTGAAGAACTTCCTTTCAGTCGCTTGCATCAATTTCAATTATCGAACAGTCACGTTTATCAATACAAGAACAACTTCATTCGTGATCTTAGAAGAGCTACACTATTTTCGAAGCTGTGTAATTAACATAAAGTTATCAAACTAAGACGGTGTAAATCAATCGAATCGAACGCAAAGGCAACTACGGTTTCGACGTGCAAGTTTCAGTACCTCGCCACGAAGTCATTTAATACTGGTCATCGTCATAGCCCACTAACAGTCCTCGCGTGACAGTAACACCGTCCCCGTGTCGTGAAAAGTATGCAGCAGCCCCCAAACCCCGTGCCAACGGTCCCAACCAGCCCTTATCCAACCGATCCGCCCGGCCGACGGTCCCGACGCGACACCGACAACCACCGACTAAAGACACTCGGCGGACCAACCTGGCCGATTGGACGTCCCGGCCGATTCGACTCGGAATCTGATGGGCAGCCATTGATCGATCGCCGATTCTCTCGTTGTTGTGATCTCGAACTCGCCCATTGCACCGTATCTCGTAGCGACGTAGCTGTAGTTTTGAGTCGTTGCTGCTGGAACGCACCGATCGACGCCGCGTTTCCCGACGAATCGGTTCAATTATGGACAGCGTGATCGATCTTCTGGATTTGACGAAACAGCGGTACACGGTTGATCAATTCGAATTGAGCTATTTATATTCAAGCTGCAACTTTTTATCGTCCGAAGGCTAGAGAGTTTCGAATGATAATTCTGCAACCGAATCGTCGGGGAACGCGCGTGAAATTTGAAATAGCGAATTGACGCACGTTTATGGGCACTAGCCGTGCCAGAAGCTGCTAATCGCGGGCCGATCGAGAAAGGGTAAGTATCGGCGTGCGTCATGCTGTTATCGACTTCACAGTAATTCTATCGTATGGGTCTTGGTGAATATACGCTGTCTATTACAAGTTTGTCATTGGTTGGAATTACGACTAAGAATAATAGACCGATTCTTAATTCCTAATTTTATCAAGAAGATTAATGTCAAGCGTATGATAGTCTAAATATTCGTGAGCATATCCTGCGTTGAAAGAAGAAAATTCATTAACAATTCAACACACGATGAGATACTTTCAAACGATAGCGTATGTCTTATTTTGATGCACCTGCAGGCTGTCCATACTGCGACAAACGTTGTTATAACCATCAGCATTCAAATAATCAAAGATTCTCATTTGAGACTTAACCGCTAATCCTCAAATTGTTATACACAAGTTTCTCAATAAGTACGGACAGCCTCTAAAATTCCTAGACTACGGATGCTTACGCAAATATAGACGTTCGAGCCATCGAAAGTTCCAAGTTCAGAATAGAATGAGACATTGTACAGTGAAACTTGAAGGAACAAGATCCGCTATAAACGCGTAAGATCCGTAATCTAAAACTCGCCACGAAACAATGTCACGAGCCGAAGGAGCGCACGTAAGGAATCGTAGCAGCAAGATCGATGGATCGTAGCCGCAAGTAGGATTCAGGATGTATTAGCACCGTAGTATCGGGAGCGCTGGAGCCTGGATCACGGAAGCTGCTACACACTGCCAACTGTCTGCCTCCCCAAATATTTCGAAAACGAGACCGTGTCGAAATTGTAACACGTTCACGGAACGGATCGATGACGAAAGACCGATCGACACCGGCGACCGGTTGTCTTTTATCCACGTTCTCTCTGTAACCGTGAACGGTCCGCGTGTCCTGAACGGTGTCGGGACTAACAGGAGCGTTTCGTTGCTTGCAGCTGGTAGCCGGAAGCGGAAGCCAGGCGAGCGGCGGAGCGGCTGTCGCCGGAAAAGCGGAGGAGGCGCCGGAAGCGGTACCAGGACCGGTCACCAGGCTGTTCGTCATCGCGAACAGAGGAATCTCGAATCTCATACAGGACCTCATCCTGGTGAGTATCCTTGATATATCATCAGTAACATTGATTTGATCAGTGGATATGATCGATGAATGATTTGATCGTTGAATATGGTCAAACATGTTGAGATGATTTTTTGTTGCTGTTTAATTATAATAGTAATTTTTTTAGTTTTGATTGTGGTGTAGTGTACTGGAAGATTATCAGTATTGTATTGAAACATGATATTCATTGTTAGAAATTTGATTTTGTTTGTTGATACGTTATTAGTAATATATTGAGATTACTTTTTGCTGTGTAATTAATATTTTTAGTTTTGATTGTGGTGTAGTGTACTGGAAGATTATCAGTATTGTGTTGAAACGTGATATTCATTGTTAGAAATTTGATTTTGTTTGTTGATACGTTATTAGTAATATATTGAGTTTACTTTTTGCTGTCTAATTAATTCTTTTAGTTTTGATTGTGGTGTACTGTGCTGGAAGATTATCAGTATTGTGTTGAAACGTGATATTCATTGTTAGAAATTTGATTTTGTTTGTTGATACGTTATTAGTAATATATTGAGATTACTTTTTGCTGTCTAATTAATTCTTTTAGTTTTGATTGTGGTGTAGTGTACTGGAACATTATCAGTAATGTGTTGAAACATAAGTTGTGCTTGTTATTAGAAAAGGAAACGATAGAAATTGAATTTCTTCACTGACGTTTTATACACGCAGCAATTTGGAGCAACAGTTTGTAATTTAGGTAGTTTTTATGCTACGTCTATCTCACGTTCGAGTTAATTATACTTGAAACTAGTATCAGGTTGTGTTGGATAATATTGTGCAATTTCTGGTTTATCACGAGATTCTATTTGCATAGATGTAAACTTGCTTGTAAGGTGACTGTAGCTGGTTTTATTCGACTTGCAACCTGTTGGAAAAGTATCTGTAAGCATAAAGCATTCTTTGAGAAAGATTGATGCAATAGAAAACGAGCAGTTTCCTTTCGTTTATTAAAATAATCAGGAATATTTGAAATTCTAGTTCCATAGATTGTAGGGTTGTTACGAAATTCAGAGAATTTCTGTGGGAGACCGCGTGGAACTTGTATCCGGATTTGTACGCTCGTGAATCAAATTTCAATCAGTCGCTAATGTAAATAGATAGCTGCCGTTCCAGTGCTAGAATAACGGAAGAGAAATTCGATTAGTTTGAGCAAACAACTCGAGAACTTAACGACGGAAAGGCACAAGGGAGATTTGTGTACACGTCACGATTGTTAATCTCTTAACCGAATAACTGCTTTATTTCTCGATACACCTGATTACCAACAAATAATAAAAACTTCTCATTAATTACAAATTTCGCTAATTTAAATTCCGACAAATAAATACAACAAAAATACTGAAAAACACTCCTAACTACTCATAATTAGCGCAACTTCTCCAATAAACCATTTAAAAGAATTGTCCTAACTTATGTTACAGAATTTATAGCTAAAAGAATTATTTAAAAAAAATTCGTACAACCCTTAAAGCAAAGTACTCGCTATTATCCACTAACAATTGTTGAAACAACAATCTTTCGCGTAACAACCTCGAAGAATCGAAACCCGTTCGTTTTCACCGCGAGCAAATCAGCGAACGGCATGAATGAAACTCAATCCGTGGAACGCGACGATCACAATCGACGGTCAATCGAATTCCGCGGCTAGAAATCGATTATGCCAAGCAGAGTGGAGAAGACGCGGACCACCGGAAACCGGCACGCGATCGCGTCGTTACGACACGTGGTCGGAACGAGCAAGGTTCGTCGCTTTCCACGAGATTTTCCGCGCGGTTAGCGTGACGAGGAGCCCCGGACAAAGCGGAATTAACACGTTTAATGCCACGAGAATCTCGAACGTTCCACATATCCCTTGTTCTTTCGTAACGAAGTTAAATAGAAACTATTATAGACCTCCTGTCCTATGATTTCTTTCGCAACTGCGCTCTGAAGTTATTTTATCGTCCATAATTCTCTGGAAGAAGGCAAATATTTACTTTGAAAGAGTATAATCGATAATAGGAAAATACTCGATAGAAAATGTAATAGGAAAAATTGCAATAGCAGGTGTACAAATAATAGGCAAACATAAAGTAGATTATAGGAAAATAATAATTGCTTTGAATTCGACAGGATTGAACGATTGTTAAATTGAATGTCACGCGATACGAGCAAAGGGTTAACACTAGAACTACCGAGCATTTGATACGATTAATATGCAATTCTCATAAAAATTGTAACAATAGATTATTTTCAGTTTCTTCAGACATTCAATATAGTACTGAAATGAAGCTATTTATTTTCAAAATCATTTCGAACATTCAATGCTTCGAAGATATCAATAATTGCTAAACAAAAGAATCGAAACCAGTCATTTTGGTACGGTAGTTCTAGTGTTAATTAGTTGACGTCAGAATTCTTATGTTCAGTTGTCGTTCAATTACTTGAGTTAACAAACATTTCTATTCGACATCGATCGTCTTGCGCATCGTTCTCGAGCAATTCGAAAGTGTCGGTCGTCGGTGACCGCGGTGGCAGTCGGCGCGCTGTGTTAACCAGCCCGGATCACTCGCGCATCGTAACCGCGAGCTTCGACGGAATGTTTACTTCCTTTTCCCGCGGAAATCGTGATTTTCCGAGACGAGCTCGAACCGAGGACGCTCCCGTTCCGTTTCTTTTTCTCCCCGTGCGTTTACGTAATCGATCGGATCGAAAGTGAAACCGCATTACGCTATTAAAGTCGGACTGTAAAACCGCTGCGTGTTCGCAGTAATAATAATAGTAACGGTACTAAAATTACGCACTCCATTAGTCATAAGACAATCGTTCCGAATGGCATTTAATTAAAATGAAACGACAACGGCCAGTCACTTCCTGTAATAACTACGTTGGGATCGTGTTTGAGTAAACCTTTCGTACGGAATTAACGCGGACGGTAATTTTCTAGCCTGGCAAGCTGAATAATACGGCTTTGTAAATATAAATGGTATTAGATAAATACAATAGTGTACGAAGCATTAATCGAGGCAATTTAATTAATGACAAACATTCGAGTGAGAACTGGAAATAAAGGAATCGAGGTGAATATTGTATTTAAAAATAGACGAACGAAACGAAAGTATTTATTTCAATGAAAATGGAAACCGCGAATTTATGAGAGTGAATGGTCGAATGTATTCTATAATGCATTTTAAAAATGCACCTTATCGGCGTACCTGCCTGCCCGGGAACGCAACAATCCGACAGAGGTAGTAATTTGCTCGCAATGGACGCTCGATTAGACTCTCACTCGGAATTTCAGCTTAAAATCGAGCGCAACACAGATTCCCGGGGAAAAGTGGACTTGTTCTACTTCAATCGAGAGATTAAAGGGACTAAAAAGTAGATAATCAACTTGTGCCTGCCGTGGCTCGATTTTATATTAATTTCAGTCCCCACACTTCGTCCGAGTTCAACAGCAACTAGCAATAAAGCCGTAAATTATTCAACGACGCGAAAATAATTAAATACCTTGAAGAAAGAACGGAAATAATTCAAATAAATTGCAGAAATACGAAAAAGAAACAAGATAAATCATGAAAATAGGGAGAACGTTAGTGTCCGTTGCATATAATCGATCGTTGGATTTCATGCTTCGCACCGATCGATCTTTCCTATCGAAATCACGGTGGAACGGGCGAAGTGAATCGACTGATTAGCGGCGCGCCGTGGAAAGAAAGGGAATTCGTCACGAAACGACTAGTCAGTCGCCGTTTTACGAGACGGGAACCGGTTGAGCGAGAAAGGACCCGACGGTTTCGTCAGATAGCCGCGAAATCGGACTCAAATTCGTCGGCGTCGCGTCGGGCCGGAGATTTTGCCGAAAGCGCGGCGCTCGTTGTCGTTCCAGATATAAAACCGGCCCGATTACGCAAGCGCCCCCGTCGGGATCGATGGAAAGCAAAAATGTAAGCGACTTTCTCTATGAAATAGCTCGTCCATTTGCCGGCTGACTTATGCAAGCAGCTGCTACCTGCCACCTGGCACGCGATACCGCCAGGGGCATGGCTGACCGGCTCCTCCGCTCGATCGGAATTCGCGAAAATTCGTTCGCCCCGTCCGCGATCGATCATTGTCTCGACCGTTCGATCGTTTTCCGTGCAGTTCGTCGGTTAATCTCGCGATCTACGGAACTTTTAGCGGTGAGTGTATGCCGTGCGCACCGTATCGCGGCTGTAATGGCTTCGACACACTCGGTGAACGCGTTTGAGCGTTCACCAGACGCGTACAGGGGGTTTCATGTTGGGAGTTCCGTGGTTATTAAACTGGAAATTGAACGTTTGACGATACGAAGCTTTGAAAGTTTGAGAATTTAGATTTGAAAATGTGACGGTTGATTAAACATGTATATCTTTCCCTGAATTTTTAATGAATAGCTAATCATCGGATATTTTTATCCAGCGTTTTATCTATCGAAACAGATTTTATACTCAGGTGTTTTCATATTTGCTTTCCAAATCAGTTAGCAGTCGATACACTAGAGATCCGTATGCAAACGCGGGTTTCTACAGTGGATTTCTTTCGATCGGAACATTTCAGGATAATTAAATACCATCGTTTACGCTTTAAAGATCGGCATTAAAGAGTGTTTTATTACCCCGATGAAAGTATTGCATTCCCAAAGGAAAATATCCGAAGCGATTGTTCCTGCACCCGGATAATCGCTCGATCTCGGCGTTCAATCTCCCCGGAGCTAATTGCCGGGCTTAATTGGCTAATTGAGGAACACAGGACCCGTTAATATGAAGCCAGGTCTACATAAACGAATAATTAGCGTTCACGCGGTAGTGGTTCGCGCTTCGCGGGCTCCGCAACGAAAGCGAGTCCGATCGACGAAAGAGGTTCCGCGGAATCGGCCGTTTAGAGGTTGTTGATCGCGCCGCGGAGCCGTCACAACATTCGCAACGCGATTCTCTCACGATACGTGCCGGCAAGAACTATCTCCGCCCGCCGACGAATGTTGTTCGCCGGCAAAAGTCGCGTTGTCCTCGCCGCCGCTTTCGAGGCGATCGTTTAATTGATCGATCCTGCTCTCTAGGCGTCCGTCGGCCGCGTCGCGGACTGTGACCAGATTTTTCTGCGACTTTCGTTTCGACTCGCCGCTGAAATTGCTTCGAAGAAAGCGAGGGAAAAAGATAATACGAAAAGCCTGGGCAAAAATGAACTACCGTAAACCGCGGCTCCGGTCTGTTCGAACGTTTCACGTCGCTTTATTCAATGGGAAGTTCTTTGCTCACTGTACGGCAGCGAGCGTGGAACGGATTGACAGTAATCGAAATAGCGCGAACTGTAATATTTACATAATACACGCAAAACATACGTTGATTAATGTAAACGTATAACGGTAATAAGAAGAAGTCGAACGAAGAGGTTAAACTCGTTTAACCGCTTCGCTTGTAACTTCAAATTTTACTTTTGTGGCGACAGTTCCAGCATTCTGACGATAGAGGGCTGACAACACTTTCAGCATTTCTCGCTCCTAGCCCAGTTCCGCGTTAATTTATATATAAGTATCCATTAAACCTCTCCCACACTTGTCCCGGTGTGTAAGACGCGAATTACCAGGTGGTCTTGCTGACGAGATCACTGATAGATCCCGGACGAAACATCGCCTCATTCATCTTCTCCAAACTTTTTCTAGTTAATTCTTCATTGGTTACTCTCACGTGATATAATGAAGCCAAAGCTTTCACAGAAAAGGATGAAACTAGAAAAAGTTTGGGAGTGAGCGGCGTTTCGTCCAGGATCTACCAGTGAACCGCAAGGCGACCTGGTGAGCCAGTGTCTTAAATGCCGGCACGAGTTCTAAATTCCTCACTTATACTTATTACATACAAATTAACGAAACTGACTAAAAGCGAGAAAGGCCTAGGTGTCGTCGGCCCTCTGTTAGCGGAGAGCTCGAACTGCCGCCGCTTTCTATCTCCAATTCCTGCGCATAAACATCGGAAACGAAGGAACCGTTATGATAATTAACGCGTGAAACCACAGACGATACTCAGAAATGACTATTACAAAACAGGTACAATAAAACCCAGAAAACAGCCGGAAAGAATGAGCGACGCATAAATTCGATTAACCGGACGAATTGATTTGCGTCGGAACTCTGTCGTAAAATACAAGGATTGTGTCTAGCGAGGCAAATAATTTGATTATGTTAATCAGCCGAAATATTCCCAGCGAGACGTAATAAATAATACTCGGGAAGACGGTTCGGAGTTATGTACCACGGCCGTTGGTAACGCTAATCCCGGTCATTATACGCAACCTTCGCCGCGCTGGTTCGCTGGCGAGAAGCGGGCATCGGCTTTCCAAACCGTTCACGCTTCGCGCATCGCGGGGAATTCTCCTCCGCTTCCCGGCTAGCGACGCTGAAAATCGGGAACCCCGTTACAGACTCCGGCGGCGGAGTCCCGCGCCGATCGGCGATCGGTTTTTTCGAGCCGAGACGGTGAAACCTCGGTCGCGCGGGCAAGAAGCGTCGAAAGCGGCCGTTGCCCAGGCGGCCTCTCGAAAGCGTTGCAAAATTTCTTCGCGCGAGGAATAGGCGCGCTTTTTCACCCGCGGGAAACGGATAGTTTAGAGGAATATTCGAGCGTACGCCGTTTTTCGCTCGGTGAAAATGTGTAAGGAGAACGGGTCAGTCTGTTCGCGCGATACCGTAGAATTCGGAATGCGACGGAATGTCGCTTGGTTCGAGAAAAAGAATTGAGAGGGAACGCTGGAATTGAAGATTAGAGAACTGGGAGTGAATTAAGGTTTCTTTGGGATTATAATTGGTTTCTTGAGGGTGATAAATATTGATAGAGCATTCCTGCATCCGTTATTTAAACAGAAGCAAATGCCTCCCAGTTCTTGCGGGATCGGAGATTCTGTATCTCAGTGAAGAGCTCGCAGCTGTTGCTATCAGGTTTCAAGAGAGAAACAGTTTTAATCTTTATCTTGACGTAACGAACACCACAATCAGCGCGCCAATTAACACGTTGAGCTTCGGTTCGTAGAGACGAAACGTTTTACAAACCATATGGTATTAACACTTCCGTGAATGTTCTTTACAATGAATTCCATTGGAGCAAAGGAAAAGGTTTCTTCTCTCACGGACGAAGAGAAAAATAAAACTGTTCGACGTATGTCACGTTGACCTCTTGCATTACGATATCTCAACTACAATCCACCTCTTACTAACGATCTATTAAAAAAAGAGAAAAATTCCGAGCATATGTCAGTGTTTGCTCTCTAACTGATAACAGAATAATATTCAATTTGTATTCGCAAAAATTGTTTCTCAAATTCTGATAACATCTTCACGAGCCTAACACGTTGTTATAAAGCAAGAGGTCGACACACTCCACACTATCATTCATTTTATCCATAAAACACGTGTTACCCGTCTCGTGCTCGATCCACGGATTAATCGTTGTCTGGTTGATTTACAGCGCCTGGCGGCGACGAGCGAGCGTATCGTCAACTTCAAGGCGAGACTCATCACTTCGATCATCTAGAACTCGGTGCGAAAGGAATAGAGTGAGGAAGTGCAAGAAAAAGTTCCGATGATCCCCGACGTGGGAGCCATTGCCGAGCCGTGATCGTCGCAGGAGCACGGGTACGACGTCGGCAACGTGCCGGTGCCCATCCGGTACGTTGCTCCCTTGTCCCCGAGGTCCGGTAGTGTCTTGTCGATGGTCGACTCGTCCTCGTGAAGCGGAACCTCGCGACGTCATGTTCGATATCACGCAAGACCGCGACCCTGCCCCCTCGTTCACCTTTGCCCCCAATCAGCTTCGTTGTTCTTCTTCGTCACTAATGTCTCTCTACCGTCCGTTTCCCAGTGTCTATTCGTCCTCCAACGTGAAACTTCCTCCCGATTCCTTTCTCTTCGTCTCTCTCTCTCTCTCTCTCTTTCTCCATCCCTCTCTTATTCTTCCCTCCTCGCTGCGTGTTTTCTAGTTCTTCTTCAAACTAAGAATTATATATACTAGCGTTTAAATAAGTTCTTTAGAGATTCGACGACCGCCGCAAGGATCTGCGGCTGCGCGACGCGGAACAGAACCACGACCCACATGCTCGCCGAGCAGATAAGTTCCAGCGGTTTTTGCTCGACGGTATTTCGCGGGCATCTGGTATTCAAATGTCTCGGGTTTTCTTGCCGCTTCGCGTTGGGAACGTGAAATCCGTTTGGCGGAATTCATCGTTGGAATGACTGTTATTTATGTGGAAACGATGGAGGTTGTTTCTGGAAGATCGAAATTGAGGACGATGTTGGCGGAATTTGGCGGGGAAACCTTTATTCGAGTGGACATTTTTGAAGCTTTGGAATTGTGGATGATGGGGAATGAGTGTTAGATAGTTCTACTCGTTGAATATGTTTGAAAATAGAATTTGGAAGACATCGTTGAAAATTATCGCGGATATTTGGAGGACTGAAGGGGTTGATGATGGAACGATACGAAAACCGCAGGAACTTATCTGATTATTCGATAGTAGATTCACAAGCGACTGGTTCTTATGTACGTCGCATTGTGTTGAGACACTCTGCACCGTGTTAATGCGAGCGATTAGGATAAAATCGCGTGAGTCTTCCGTGTAGCGTACGATTTGCATGTTTCTTGTCGGTGCTCTCTCGTCGGATCGCGTCAAGCCAAGAAGAAACTCGCGTGGACTTGTACATAGCTCTTCCCAGAATGCAACAGTGCCAAGCATTGATTGTTTCTCCCCCTCCTTGTATTTAGCAGCCCTTGCCTCCTTGTCTGTTGCTTCTCTAAGGGTTGCTAAGCGCGTCGACTGCGGTGAACGCGAAAATTTCTCGACGACTTGAAAATTACTTCGCTGGAATTCTTAACGCTCCATACAACACTCTTCTAAAGAATTAATAATTAACAATTAAATTACTAGTAAATTCATCGAAGATTACCATTCAAAAGAAAAAGTTATTAATCTCTCTCGCGTTGCTCGATCACTAAGAAAATTATCAATAGATACTCTACAAGCGAGTTGTTAAGAATTTCCGTAAAAGTTCCACTGAAAATCGAAGCATTTTGTCGTATCCTTCAACGTTCACCGCATTCGGCTCGAACCGGAAACGCCGCCATTCTCTTTCCGCGCTTTCCGCGTCCAGGAAAGCGTGACAAGAGAACGACGCTCGTTCGTTATCCGTCTAGGTGTGTTGATTCTCGAATTGAACGCATTATCTATCGAATGTAAATCGTCCCTGTTATTTTGTAGTGTAAATAAATAAATATTATTGTCACAAAAGAATAGCAGCGTCGCTCTGTTTCACCCATCACGATCATTTATTATTCGAACGAGTATATATTCGGTACAGGTATGAACAAACAGGCGAACGTTCATCGTTGTCGACGACAGTGCCGGATGATCGTGCACATCGATTCGATATCCACGACCGATATTTAGCAAAAATACAATTCGAGGAACGATTCATATACGAATACATTTGGTAAGGTTTGGGACATCGATACGCGAGCTTAATCCTACGAGTCGCCGCTCGTTTCGAACGATCAATTGTACAGGCGTGGTTCCCACGAGCAGCCGCTTAAATCTAATCGTTTGAACGACTGCGTTTATTTTATCCGCGAGTCGCGATCACCCTTAGGCCCAGTATAAAATTCAGGACACGAAATTCGGAAGTGTTGCTTCACTTAGGCCGGCCGCTACGGCTCCGTAGCACTGGTAAATGAAGAGTCTTTGCTCGACGACGCTTTGACTTCTTCGAAGACGAACATCTCGTCTTCGCACGAAGCCCACCGGTGTAGCTAGGGGGGCGAGACCAGAGGTGGCTGCTCGTCGGGCACACCGACGTACACTGGATCGCCCAATCGTATGCTACCTTTCGGACCACGCAGGCCCAGGTGGATTCCCAGCACCGGACTCTCGCCGACCACGCGACGAATCTCTGGCTCTGTTATTTGTCTGTAACTGAAATGCAAACGTTCCTTTGTTGATCTTGTTCTCCGACATTCTTCCTCTTGCTTTTTATTCGAAGATTGATAAGGGAGTTGGGTAAATTTGGGAAAAATTGATTTTTACACATGTATCAATTAGGCTACGGAAGCCAATTAGTAATGAAAGCACGGGGCAATGATTTTACCGTTACTGTTCACCTTTTTTAATCTCGAGAATTTGAATTGAGGATTCCTTTGGAAGTTTTAGCTTGGAAACACATGTTTTCATTTTTGAAGTTTAACCCTTTCCACTCGGAAGTTTTTCAGTAGAAATATTTGAACATTGTTTGATGAGATAAAGACGACATTGTTTGAAACTAATTTATAGTTTACAGATAAATTAAGCAACAAAGCTATTTTATTTAAATATTTCACAATGCAATAGAAAGTTTAATTTAAAATAGTAAATATTCAACTTCATAGTTTTGCTGTGTCGAATCAAGTGGTGACTGAGAGTCACCTTTCGAGTGCAAAGGGTTAACTGTTACTATTAATTATGAAAGAAATGTTTCATTACTAACTGATAGTTGAAATTCATGATTATCAGATATGTTGTAGGTTAAAATGTTATATTAAAGAGAATTGTAGAAATTGGGGACATACCTTTTCAGAGTTTTCAACGGTTCCGCGTTCGAGTCCTTCACACCGGTTTCTGGGTGAATGGTAGTGAAGATACACCTTGTGCAAGGCATAATGTTCTTGAAAATAACGTTGCCGATCTTTATCCACACCCAAGTGTCCTCTTCGTACGGTTGCGCGCCTTTCACGACGAAATTCGGTCGGAATTGGTCCGCGTTGATCGGTTTTTCCAGTCTGGTGTTTAATTCAGTCACCGAAGCTTCGTTGATCAGGCAGTAACTCGACTCGTCTGGGTACGCTCCCTATGTAAGAAAATTTCGTCTCCGATAACCCAATTATAAATTATTAACACTAGAACTACCGAGCATTTGATACGATTAATATGCAATTCCCATAAAAATTGTAACGATAGATTATTTTCAGTTTCTTCAGACATTCATTATAGCACTGAAATGAAACTATTTTCAAAATCATTTCGAACATTCGATGCTTCGAAGATATCAATAATCACCGACCGTTTAACTTGAATCTTGTAACAATAGATTTTCTTCGGTTTCTTCATAAATCCACTTAGTATTCAAGTGAAACTAATTTTCTCGATCATTTCAGATATTTATCACCATCAAGATATCAATAACTGCGAAGTAAGAAAACTCTAATCTGCCATTTTGACGAGTGCGGTAATTCTATCGTTAAGAAGTGAAATGATAACCGTCGTTTACATAACGATATACTATCCAAAAACTTGTTATGGAGCTTCTGTTTGCAATTATAGATAAAAAGGCCGGCGAAAATACTATGCTACTGATATATGAAGTATTAAAATATTGATTCAGAGATACAGAAAGATAATAAAGTCTCATATATAAGCTTTGTATAATTCTTTGTATAATAGCTTTGTTTCTCAATTTATACATGATTTCTCACTAACTCAGTTTCAAAGAATATCGTCTCATCGGAAAATGTAGCGTACTTCTAGCGAAAAACTTTCGAGTGCAAAGGTTTAATCTTTGAATCCAAGAAGTTTCACGGAGAAAAACGGTGGATGATGCCAAGAACTCACAGTGTCATCGTTGGTAAAGTTCTGCGAAGAGAATATCTTGCTTTTCGATCGAAGTTCTCGGGTCGGGTATTCCAGAGGATAGTAAACCAGTCTGAAACCGGTGTCTTCCTGAAGAAGGTACCGGGACAGCCACCTGGCAGCTTCTTCGCCGCAGTCGCAGGCTGTCACTGGTACCCCCCAGACAGCTACGCGGAATCCCTTGCCGCGGATTCGCGCCAAATCAATGGACACTGACATCATTCCCGGGGCAGAGAGTGTGAGAACTGATCCCGACACACTCGGCGATACCTTCGTGAAGTAAATCAGAGATATTAAATAGATTGCGAGAAACTGTAAACATAACTGTAAACTTTATGTATTGTTATAGACATGTGCATATAATGTTATAAATGTTCCTATAACAGAGGTGACGAAGTGTGGAAAACTTCGAATATTCATTTTGAAAGAGAATATTGAATTAGTAAATTGAACAGGTGAATCATTATTATTGCTGGCGAAGATTGTTAACGTCCTTCGAAGTTTAAAGTTGTAGATATATATTAAAATATCTTGTTTCATTAACTGATATTTGAAATTTATATTTAGGTAAATTGGACTGAAGGCACGTTGGAAAATGGAGGTGTCCTTTAGATAGAAGAAATGACCACGAAACGGAATTAATTATTTCCGTTCCATTCTGGCAGTTAATCTCGCAAGTTATCCTGACGGTGACACGGCTCGTTAATTCCGATTATAAAAGTCCCTCGTTTCCTGAATCGAAGTACATTGGCTCCCAGGAAGAGCCATTTGCGATCGGCTTCCAGGACCGGTGCTGCTGGGAATTAACAATCCGTAAAGAAAACGCGGCGGAGATGAAACTATCGAACGAGAACGATTACCGTGCATCCATCCGCTTCTGATCCGCTTGTTTGCTTTCGCGATAATTTCTTTTCGAAGAGAATTCCTTCGACTACTCGCAGATGTGCTCGGATAAGTTAATTTCTTGGCTATTTAATCCTCGACACGTGAGGAATAATTAGTTTTTGCCCCTCGAATCTACTTTTTGCGCGAGGTGCCCACTTTACGTCGGCATGATATCATATTCTCGTAACTGTTCACTTTTAGAATCACAGGCTGGTGATTAATCGTCGGCACGTTAATAGAAATTCGGCTTGGCAAATTACACGACTCGTAATTATCGAATTACGAACTGAAACAATACATGCGTTTAGTAAAGTTTACACTTTGCTGAGCTCCGAGGTACCTGAAAAATAATTCGCGTGAAAGGATTCTAACATGTTCACCGATCTCCATAGAAAGTGACCAATTATCTTTGTACTTTGTAAAGCAATTAGCTATTAATCAACGTTTCTCGCGCTCTTCCGTCGAACGTCTCTGCGTGCTACATTCGAATCACACTGGTAGAACCAGTCAACTCGCGGCGAATTTCAAATTTCAAGTTCCAAGTTTCGAATTCTAAATTTCAAACTCCAGATTTTCAATTTCCATTTTCCAATGTCAAATTTCCAATTCAAAATGTCACATTTTAAATTCAATATTTACGTTTAGAAATCTGAGTTCCATACCAGAACCATTCGTGGCCATTGTCTGCCGGTGACGAAGTGGCCATTGAGGTCGATGACCAATAACGTACGGTCCCTCATCCAGCCGGACTTCAGGCCCAGTTTCAAGCATTCCATGGTGTTCATTCGCACAGGGCCGAGAGACTTGATCGGAAACGCGATCAGGTCGCTGAGTTCCCCGACCTTCCGCCATTGCGACGGCGGCCGTTCCTTTTGGCTCTTGGTCCACCACCACCAGAAGAAGACGACCACTGTCCCAGCCCCGACCGCGATGGCCGACATGTACGTCAGCCGCATTTTGTCTGCGCATGAAACATTCACCGATTAATTTTCAACGGTTAAGTGGCCATGCGAGACGGTCCGCTGCGAAACCATTGACTTTGAATTATGATTACATGTAAGATGAATACCGTACGCGTCGATGGAGACGGTATACTACTGAATCCTGAAATACAGTCGGCAGCACTGGGACATTAACCCTTTGCGGATGGGAATTTTTTAACCCCTTGCCCTACAATGAGTGAGACTCGTGAAGATTTTCTACGTGATTCAACAAATATATAGATTACTCAGTTCATTCGAATTCAAAGTAAATATTATTCCTCTGTAATCAATTATTATATTTAAATGGAAATATAGACATAACATATGCTTAGAATTTTCCTCTTTTTCCAATAAATTATTAATGACAAAGTAGCCGTATCGAGGTGAAGATTTTCTACATGATTCAACAAATATATAGATTACTCAGTTCATTCGAATTCAAAGTAAATATTATTCCTCTGTAATCTATTATACTTAAATGGAAATATAGACATAACATATGCTTAGAATTTTTCTCTTTTTCCAATAAATTATTAATGACAAAGTATCGATCAGAGTTGAGAAAGAAATCATAGGCCAAGGGGTTAAACTTCCAAAAACTCTTTCCAAACTAAACTGAATTGAAGGGTAGAAATTTTGTAAATACCGAGCTTCAAGTTTTTCAGGAGGAAGAGGTAAGTTACTTGACAAAATGATGTTACTTTTCAGGATTATAAGTATTACGTAAAAGAAACCACATATCAATCTCTCGGTATTTGAATAACTTGATTAGATTATTGCTTCTGATTTTAGTAGAAGTTTCAAGTGATAATTTGGAATCTACTGGTAATCACCCCACGCGTGGTTTTATCTGAGTAGATTATTAATAAATGATAATAACGAACATATATTTCGAGACGTAACATACGAAGATAAAAGCTGTTCACGACTTGGTCATGTAGGGTTGTTATCATTAAATCAGATTAATACAAGCAAGTGTAATATTATTAGATATTAATTAACACAGTATTTAATTCGTTATATTTAACATTATCGAGGGTCATATGCCAGATAGATACTGACGTATGTGACGTAATTATCAGCCATATTAAACTTTATCTTCCTGTCGTCCAGGTTAATGATCATCGGCATTTATCAAGTTATTTTGATCGGTTGAATAATTAATGAAACTTGCCGACCTCCTATTAAATAATATAAAAGTGTACTAATGGTGCCATTTTATGCTCCATGAGTTCGCGTCTAACAAGGTGCTAATAAATCTGGATTGCATAAATGTGCTATTTCATTACACGAAGTATTTAGTTACAAAAACATTGCGTGTAGTAAAGCTCGCTCGAAGCCACTATACTGTTAAACCCACTAAAGCGAACAGGATATCAGCTGATTTCCAATTCAAATCGTCATCGATGCAGGTCACTAATCGGTTCTATTTCTACCAAATGTGCCAAAAGATTAAAGAGAAGAAAACAAAATAGTAACTAGCAATTATTCTCTAAGTAATTTCTCTTTAATCGACACTCCGACTTATCATATAATGATTGCAAAATTAATTCAGTATATATTAATTTTATAATCATTATAGGATAAATATAAAAGTGAAGTGAGAAAAAATAATTAAACTTACAACATAATTTCAAGTTAGAATTTGGAAAGGTATTTTTTGGCACCTCTGATAAAGACAGTGCTAAGAAACAAAGACAAAAAGAGACTCCTGGCAAGATCCTTGTTCCTGAACGCTGCACACTAGGCTTTCGTCATTACCTAAACCCGTGTCAAACAGAGCGTGAACTTTTTTGTGTCTATGTACTCCGAATCTATTGCCTGCAGCGTGAATAAACATCAATAAGATCGTAATGGTACTTGAATGCGCGATTCGCAGAATCTCGACGATATCTGCGAGTCATCTACCACGATTTCACCAGCCGATCGACATTCTCATCGAATACGGGATTTCTAAGCTACAAGAAGATATTAGATCGAACAAAATGATTCTTCACAAAAGAAATTAGGAAGGAAACAAACTTTTCTTCGAGAAGCCTGTTAGTCGCTCGCTCTAAAGAAGTTACTTTGTGCATTTGTCTCAAATAGTTCCACACGCTGATGAAGATATCGACGATGTAAAGTTCGACAGCAACCAGATAACTTAATCTGAAATGACTTGAGTTTGAAGTGTTACTTGCAAGACCAGCAGGATCAAAACGACGTTCTTACCGGAAATTGGATCTGTTAGTGACATCGTTTTGTCCCGCTAGAAATCGTAACGCGCATACTGCAACGGAGCACAGACACGTCGAGACAACTTGCACAATTCGTTCGTGCTAAAATGTCCCGTATCGGCGATTCCGTCACGGGAAAGTAGGCTAAGGAGTTGCGTGCGCTTTCGAAAATGCATACAGAACGTTGCATTATCCTTTTTTCTCCGTGTCAAATTTTCCCGCCCTTTGTCCGTCCAACGGGAACACTTGTTTTCTATTTTTAGAATAGGCACACGGAATACTCGAAAAATCGCCGAGTTAAGGACAAGTGAACTCGCGTGATCCCGTTTACTCGGTATTTACCAACATCTCACTTCCTTTAATGTCATTGAATCAAGTAAGGAAACATTCTCTAACATCCTATCATATTTAAACTAGTATCATCGTTCTTCTGATTACAGCAGAGACAAATCAAATTTGAGGAAAACGTAATGACTTATAATCCTATCAACCCTGCATCCGAGAGACTGCGAGTCGCCATTTTCTTCGAGAAAGATAAAATTCTATATTCACTATCAAACTTTATCTAATCCTTCGATCGTGTATTATTTTAGTTCAATATCATCAAAGTTTCATTGATGTTTCATTGGAAAATGAATGTATGCAGCGAAAACGGTTAGTAACCTTCGAATGTAAAAGACGAATGAATGTTAGAGATAAGCACAGAAACCGTTCCGTGCACTTGAAATACACGCGTGAGGGTGCATTTTGTTCGCCAGTATCGATTCGCGTTTTTTCTTCGTGCACGCAGCGTGAAGGAGGGAAATCGTTCGGGGGAAGGGTCCGATGTGACACAACAGACCTTTCCCGTGGAATCAATACCACGGGCGTTGCTCTCCGGGACGCGAACGAACCTGCAAATAACGCTGAGCGTGCTAAAACGAGAGCTCTTCGCGTTAATTAAACATTGCGTCAGCGTTTACTAGTATGCAACGAAAATTTGTACGGGGCGTTAACGAATGGCACCCTTTCCCAGGACTCAACGTAACACTTTCGCGGTCCGACCGGATGTTGATATAAGCACAGAACTGAGAGGAATTGATCGGATGAAAAGAGATATCTCAGATCAAACATAGTAAATAACGCATGGTACCCAGTTAGCTTATCTGCTCGTTTCGTCACACGTGATATCAATATCAGGTCTTTCGTTGCAACCGGATTACAAGACAGTCGGACGAATAAAAAGATGCTAGTGGATTAAATTCTTGCCATGAAACCAACGCATCGCCGGCAAAAACGGTCCCGTTAAAATAACCGGCATGGTCAATGACGTAACGGATAATCGGGCGAGACTCGTCGATAAATCCTGGCGTCCTTGACAGCGGGTGAGCACGAGATGAGATCGATACTAGACGGAAGCAACATTAAAGCTAGACAAACTACATCGCCCGTTTAGGTGCCTCTAATAAATCGATTCTGAAGATACACGTGACAGTGAATTATTAGTTTAATACACTCTAAGCAAGATAAATGAAACCAACTGACAATTTTCCGATCATTCCCTGTTTCAGTAAATTGGATAATTATTCATTCACTATTCTAATAGTTAGGTTCCTTCGACTGTTTCCTAGCGTTTCGATATTTTATCCATTAAACTCCAAAAGCTTCATCCTCTTTTTCCAAGTTTAGAACCAACCGGTTTTAAAAGAGCAGTACTAGACGCATCTGAGTGAAGACGGTAGATAACGATAATTAGAGACATGAATACTTACCCAGAGGCATGCTCAAGGCCGCAGTTATCACGAGCAAGAGACGAATGGAGCGATTGCGTGGCAACCGGTCGACGACGAACTGAAGACTGATGTAGGCTCCGTAGGATCACACGATCGCAACTCTTCCTCGACTCGAAGACACCGTTATCTATATACGCTTACGTTCTGTTACCTCCCTTCCCCATTGTAGTAAGAGCAGTCGGTGCACTCACGATAGCGCGGCCACGTGTGAGGAGCCATCGAACAGCACGCAGTTACGAAACCCTGAAAACTGCTGCGAGGAACAGCCTCGCAGCACCATTCGGCATGCGCGACCGGATGAGCTTCTAACTGGCGCTGAACCGTTTTGGAGCGAAGAGCACAAGCGCGCCGTTCAAACGATAAACACACGCCGGTTGTTCTAAATATCTCGCAGCCGCAGTGAGGTTTCTACAAAGCGAACAATTGTATTTTTTGCTGGCACTGTTCAATGTGTACACGTCGTGAGCAGCGGACATAATGCGGTCTATGGGTAGTCTGCGTAATGCGTTTTTCCATGGAAGCATCGGACTACTCAATATCTTGCAGCCAACGCGTCATCGACTAATGGAGGAGAGTTTCTAGTTTTAATGGCAACGTGTTGAATTTTGACTTCTATTTTCCTTTTTCTTCTCCTTTTGTTTCCATCGTAGACGAGTTATAGAAGATGGAGAACTACTGTGGTTTTGTTATTGTTTATTGATGAAAACGACTTATGTGAATGTATATTTATGATAGATTTAGCTTGGGAAGGATAGTGCATGTTTACACAATGCGGTTGGCATTGTGTTAATATGATGCAACTTGATCATGAACAGTTAGAGCTCGTTAACCCCTTGACGTACAATGACGAGTGAGGCTCGTGATGGTTTCTAAACTAATTTAGCAACAGTCAATGTTCATTGCCCACGGATCAAAGCAAACAAGTATTTTGCTATTATCACTGTGTTATCTTCGAATGAAATTTCCACTTGAAGTGGAATGGACAATTTTGCTGCATTTAAGTGTTGCAGCTAGTAGCTGAAATTTAGTCGGTGTAGAATGTGTTAATTTGTTGATCACTGGTGTTACGAAATTAAAGTAACTGTGGTCCAGAGATTGGAGTATGGGAAGTTTTTTTTATAGAGAAAGGGAAGCTAGATCCTAATTATGATTGCATTGTTTTAAGAACCTTTGAATAGCGAGGAGAATAGGGTTGAGAAAGTTGTTTATCAATGCAATGGTGACTTGCAGGAATTTGTCTAGTTTATGACTTATGTAACTGTTTAACAGAGTATACTAAGAGAACGGAATATGCTGTACTGTAATAAATAATTGCATGCTAGTGATATTTTTAAGGATAAGCAAAATGGCGCTTCTTTGTGGGGATCGTGAATTGGACCGTTCAAATAGCCCGCCACGTATCTGCGCAGAACTTGGAGAAGGATCACGACACTGGCAGTCATCTGTCATGAGTCAGTGGTAGTCAAAAGTTATCGTTGGTACAGGGAGAGGTGTTTTGATTGCTGAATGTTGTCCTTCGTGTATATGAATTGACAATAACTTAATTGATCACCGCGCGTACAGATGCAACATTATAAAGGAAAACAGCGTTGACTTTTAAAAGTACGGGCGACGTTGGAAAACAGTGTTCGATCACTTGTTCGTTTGCGTGAACCCGATTTTACAAAGGTAACTCTTGAAAACTGGTTATTGTTTACTCGAATCGAGTCAGATATTCGTTGTTCTGTAGTATTTCTATTTTTCATTTCAACGAACAGCATTAATTAGATATAAACAGTGAAGTTTTGAGACATACTGTCGTAGTTTGGAGGTTAGAATCTTGTGACGTTTCATGAAATACTAATGTAAGTGACTCATTTCTAGCTTGATTGCCATTGTTTTAGAAATTCAACAGGATCTTTGTTATTTACCGTTGAATAATATTTTGTATATTGCACCCTTGTCAGTAATATAATAATATTTTTAGAAATATGCTCTGTTTTGAATGTTACTCACCGTGATAACAGATAAAAAGGAATTACAAATAAGGTGTTATCGTTTAGTAGATAAGTGATTACAAGTTACTGACCTCAGTCTTGTAAATTTTTCAAGAGAAAAAACTAGGAATAGAAAGGAATGTTTGTTTTTATTATAGCCTTCATCATGCCTATAATGTACTGTGTGGTATCCCGAGGGCTTACTGTGCTCGCAAAGTTTGCCTCTTGCGATGGAAACTTCGAGGAAGTCACAGAGAAAGTCCTTGCCAAAATCTCTCCACAAAACGATAAGATGACGTATTCTCAGGGACCTTATTTGTTTCATTATATCTCTAATAATAATATTATCTATATGTGCATCACAGATGACGTGAGTACATTGAAATTAAGTGAGACTTAGTTAAATCACTTAAGTAAGACATATCCAGAATGTCTCAATTTTTTAGGCTTTCCAAAGATCTAGAGCATTCCTATTTCTCACAGAAATCAAAAGACGATTCTTGGCTATGTATGGGCAAGGGGCACAAACCGCGGTAGCATACTCAATGAATTCAGAATTCAGTAAAATTCTGGCCAATGAAATGGTAAACGTAAATTCTGCTTTCTCAATTATTTATACATCATACCTCCTTACATGATGAATATTCTCTGTCCAGAGGTATTACAGTGAGTCGAATCGTGAGATTGACATGATATCCAAAGTTCACGGTGAATTAGATGAATTGAAAGATATCATGGTACAAAACATTGATAGTGTATCAATGCGGGGAGAACGGTTAGAGTTACTCGTAAACAAAACGGAAAATTTAACTGCCAATGTGAGTATAATTTTATTGTGATTTCCTTAGAAGCAGCAAGCAATAATTATTCTCATTCTTCGTTTCAGTCGGTCACGTTTAGGAAAACGAGCAGAAATTTAGCGCGCTCGTTATTCTGGAAGAACGTTAAAATCTATGTGATCAGTGGCGCGATAGTTATTGTAAGTAATGTAATTACCTTTACCGAAATGACTTTGTATATTAAATTTGATTGTTTCAGGTTACTATATACCTTATTGTGTCTATTTCTTGCGGTGGTTTGGCTTGGCAAAAATGTGTCGGAAATTAAGTTTGGTACATTACAACGTTCAAAGTAACTCGCATGATATTCGACGATCTCGTTCGATTCAATGTGTCGATCGGTCGTTGCACGGAGAAATATTTCTGATTAAAGCGTCGTGAAAATTTAACTATCGGTTCACTCTGTATATAAAAAACTGAAAAATCGATGTTCGACTTTGTAATAAGCATATAGAGAAACGGACACAAATATTATTAGGAGAATTATATATATATATATATAAATATATAACGCTTATATTATTTTTATTATATTATCAGGAAGATACCGATATCGTTTATATACTCTAAGCGATGAAAATATACTTTTACCGCCGCCTATGTATATTGTATCATATAAATGCGTTCCACGAACGAATAAAACAATGCATTACGAACTTATACTCGATTTATTATGCACTTCCGGCAGCCCTCCCGAGTGCAACAAGTGAAGGTCAGGTCATCGTACTTTTTCTTTCCATCGCGAAAGTATTATCTGAATTCAGAATCGTATTATTGGGCGTGGCTGTTCCATTTCAGATCGAGATAGGACTACCGTAGAAATTTATCGAATATCCAGTCTCTTCCGAGCCATTAGCTACATCAAATTTTTTCCACGCGGAAGCGTACCTTCCACGCGACGCAATGTTTTTCCCCCATGGTAGTCGCGGGCGCATGCTCCATTGCATTTTTCTCTCTAAAGTAGCCTGTGTCTAGAGGGAACGAAACCCTGGGCAGATTTCATTCAAACGATGCCATAAGGGTGCGATAATGGATTATTTTAAATTTTTCACATGAAAATATATAGCTTTCAAAGATTAAATATACTTTAATTAGCTATGAAGCTATGTAGAAAAAATTGATTAATACGAAGGGTAGGAGATGTTTTTTAATGGATAATTTTTTACAGATCAAAAAGATCTTAACGAAGTATTACTTGTAATTTACAGATCCAAATTTAACAAGATTTGGAAAGCATTGAAAATCGAAGAATAAGAAATCACCCGTCGTTTTCGAAAACCCTGAACGTCGCGTTTTAATTGCAATGCTGATCGACAGAGATGTAATGAAGTAAGTGGTTCATAAGTACTCACTTTGAAAAAGGAGGAACATAGGAAAAGAATTTTTTTATGATTTACAACGAGGAAATTTGCTAAATATAACTTCAATTTTTATTATATTATTTAAACGAACGATCTTTTCAATTAATTAATTTTACTTGGTCCAATTTTTATCTTAGAATACTCGATTTGAAAAGATTTCTTTCCTATGCCCTCTGCTTCTTAAGATATTCAGGGAAATGTCATGAACCCTCCAGTAGGAGGGCTGTTTCCACCCCTTCAATCTGAATGATGTTCGATAAAATAAAGTACGTATGAAATATTTTTTCGTGAACTATCCTCCATGTGAATTTCATCGGAATCGTATGGGTTCCCTTACGGAATATATAGAGCTTGATGCTATTGGCACATACTAGAGTTTTCAGTTTTGAAAGTCTGAACACGTGTGCGTGCGTGGGATTCAAATAAAATATATGAGCAAAATTCACGATTATTCCTATTGGTTTGTCTATAACCAAATTTCCTTAGAAAACATTGAAACAAAATTATTTTCGTAATGTGGATTTTTGAAATTTAATCACTCTTATCGTTGTGTCTTCCAGCACGCGATTATTTACGCATATTAAACATTGTATACGGCTAAGTTTTTTTGTTCGTATACATGGTACCCTTAGACGTGAATTTCATTAAGTTCTTGTTTCTCAGTATCTTCATGAAGTACAAATGCATAAAGATCCACAATCTGCTCGTATCATTTCAATCGTTATTGAGTTGAGAGCCCCACTTATGCACAACTACAATAAAACTCCCTTTATTCGAACAAGTCAGGGAACACGACGCGTAACGGTTCCAATAGCCGAGTAGTTCAGATAATAAGGCTCACTATCCCCCCACCTCATCATACATTCTACATCGTCTCTACCATCCTTCGTGCAATAACATTTTAGCTATAACCCCCGATATTTAGACCCAAACACAACCCTGTTCAAAAAAACGAAATACAATAGAACCTATAATAAATACGCTCAAATCGTAACAAAACGCTCAAATGATAGAACAATCACCATCTATCTGAAACAACCAACAATATTTCATACAATAGTCCCCAAAGTACCATCGAAACAAACAACAATACGATACAATCGATTTGTTTACCTACTCGAACAAATTTCAAAGTTCATTTCCAAACTTACAAAATTCCCAGATTCGATTCTTCCATATCAAGAATACAATCCACCGAACTATAAAAAGTTACAATCCTTACGCCTCACAGACCAAAGTTTCACCGTTTGTAATCCCACTCTAGGACGCACTACCCTCTCGTTCGTCTAAAGATCAAACAAACGTCCGGTTAATCTAAAAACTGCCCAATCGAAATTCTGAATTACACTGCACGACGTTACGTCCCGTCGCCTTTGTAATCTACACGGTGAAACGGATCCCCGGTTGATCCCAAACGTCGCAGTCTACAATCATCCCCATACCGAAACCCTCCCCGCGCAATTTCCGAGGCAACGTGCGTCTGAAGCGCATATCCAGGAGGAGGCAGGGTCCACCGGTGTGTACGTTCCTGACGAACCGAGTATCGTCGACGCAAAGCGGCGGCGGTCGGGTGGCGGCGTCGCAGGCGCTGTCGTCGCGACGCCCGGGCCATCGTAGCAGCCCGGCGCGTCGGCTCTGGCAGGATGTCGATGGCTCGCGTGGCGCGCCCTTCGG